ACTGCCTTGAGTCTCTGCTGGAGCCCTGCTGAAAATTGGGTGCTTGTGTTTATCAGCCTAAGAGTTATTTTTACAATATTTCTACTTCCCAAGGTTAAAGCTGATAGAAAAGTAATATAGAAATAAGAAATTTTAAAAAGTCTACAAGGAACAACTGAGAAATATTACTTCTGCTTAGCTTTGGTTATATAAAAAGGAGCTCTGTTTCACTTCTCACGTGTTAAGCTTTTCTTTGGATAAGATTTAGAAACAACAATGAATTTCAGTGCTACAATAGGTTGAAATTGAATGTTTACCTATGCTTTGACTGAACAAAACCATTATAATTAATTGTATTTCAAACAGCATGCACACAATAAAATAGATTCCTCCGTTTAGTAACATTTAGTAAATAGGCAATATTGTTCTCTTTTCTCAAGACCAGATAACAATGGACCAATTATTCTTTACTGCTTTCTAAGAGGGCTTCCCATTGTACAGAGAGGTTTAACATCTGGATCAATGCTTGCATGATTCTTAATGAAGTCCTTTAGCTCTTGGAAATTATTGAAAAAATATCTCCCGTGGAAAACAAAGATTAGTTTAGCTGGATGTCATGCTGAGCAATGGCTGTTTTTCTTGGCTGGCGCACCACAACACTGCTTCTATTATCTGCACCAAGGAAGGATCTCCAGGCTTTAGTCCAGTAAAGAAACATTTTCTTGTCATTCAGTGTATTCTGAAGCTTCCTGGTTTTCCTTATGGGTGAATCAACTGCACTATGTGGTTGTTGCCATTGCATCTTTGCTTTGCAGTGTGCCCATAAAGGAGACTCAAAGGAACCCCTGGAAAAATCTGTACATGTGACATAGCCCTGAGAAATCCTTCATGTCTGTCCTGTAAATCCACATGTTAAAATTTGCCAGAACAAGGATTAAGCTGTGTGAGAGGGCAGTTGGCAAAGAGCAGGAGGTGCAAGGTGCAGCAGTGAGGGGCTGTGCTGAGGTACCAGCCTCTTCGGCACTTTTACAGATCACTGCCAGGTGTACGCTTACAGCTTGAAAAGCTTTGCCATGTTTTTTGTGTGTTTTCTGCCTGTTCCCCTGTGCTGCACTCTAGCTGAAGGGCAGTGTGTGTGAGGAGCAGCAGTTCCTGCCCAGAGCCCAGCAGTGCCAGGGCAGGAGGCTCAGCAGCAGCACTCACTGTGACCATCACACACTCTGGATGGTGCCTCTCACACCAAGGGGCAGCACTGCAAACAACTCTGTCAGATCAAGTCACGCACATGCCTGCAAGAGCAGACTTTTTTCCTCATGGGAGTAACCTGATAAGAGTGTGAGCTGATCCCTTCCTTGAATCCCAGGTTTTATTCATAAATCACTTCAGCAGTTTTCTCTCACTCTTTGGCACACCATTCCGGTTCTCTGCGTTTCCACCTAACACAGGGGCCTCTACTGAAGGGCTCTCTGTAATTCTGCTAGTGCTGGCTCCAGCAGAGGTGAGGCTCAATAAATCTCAGCTGGTGAATAACTCTGATTTTTAGCTGAAGAGATAAATGATGTGAGGGAAGCAATCATGGCAGAGAGTTGTTCTGGTAAAGTGAATCAATGCAGGCTTAAAAACGTCCCATTCTGGGACCTGCGTTTCATGGGATGACCAAAGGATGCTGCAAGAGCTAAGCAATGAAATCTTTGCTTCCCCTCTGAATATGAGGAAGAGTTCCACATCTAAATGATTAGTTTTACACTCTGTTTTTAAATTAAAACATGCAAGGGGAAAGACACTGAAAAAGAGAGTGTGGCTAGAGGCTTCGCAGCAGTTATCCCCACGCTGATGAACAGCATGGCTCTGTGCTCTCCAGCCGAGGGACTGGAGAAGTGAAATTACATCTGACAGCTTTATTTCTACATTACCTCAATTTTGGCTAAAGGCAAAATTGATTAAAAAGAGAAAATACTTAGGATGTTAGGATTTGTGACTGCATTTCTTTGCTGAAGTCCCAGCATTAATCCAGACTTGTCTGCACTGGTTACAGGAAGAGAAAAGGTAATTCTGTACCAATTTCAATGTCTGTTTATAAATAAAGTACTGCTGTAATAACAGAGCTTTTTTAATGCCTGAAATTTAAGAGTTCATATGTCAAGAGAAGCACAGCTGCAAAGTGATGGAAAAACTACATTTAGTAATAAGCACCTGAGAATGGTGTGCTTAGGAGGGTAAATAATTGGAATAAACAGAGCTACTCTGGAGGAAAATTATTGTACAGTAAAATATTAAAGTGTGATTATTATCTATAGAAATAGAAACACTTTCTCTAGATAAGTATGTATAGAGACAGACATGCAAACAAGGACAAAAGCAGTCACCTTGTACAAAGGAGCAACTTCAGAAGTCCTGGAGAAAAACCACAGAAGTGATAAGTGACAGATTCTGCCTTGCCTTTTTTTTTTTTTGTGTTAATCCTGTTCATCTGGGTTCTTTTCAATACTTTACAAAAATAGTGCTGAGGTTATGATATGGCTTTGGTTTTTGTTAATTAGCCAGATTCACAAAGGGTATTGACCAGTTAGGACACCAGTGAGGACTTGTTGTGTGAATTCAGTTTGCATTATTTACAGTGTGGTACTAAAAGGGCAGGGATTCTGTCTGCTCATGTTTAGGATGGAAATGAACTCAATACAAACCTCTCCTCATAAGGAATTCTAAAAACAACTTAAAACATTCTGTAAAGAAATAAATTTTTTTAGCATTTTGAAAAAGGATGAAGCAGAAACAACAAGATGAAAAATCTGTCAGAACTAATAATCCAAATGTTTGTGTCTCTCACCCTGCGAAGCCAGTCAATCTTTGAAATTACCTTTTTTATTGTTTTTTGAAGTTTAAGTACTATAGCAAGTATCTAAATGAAACTTTTTAATATTTCATGGATTGCACATCTTCTAATCTGTTCTTTATTTAATCTTTATGAAAATTACCCTTCAAATTCATTTTATTCATTCCTGAAAGACCCATATCTTATGCATTATAATTTTTTAATTATCTTGATTTGTGTACAGCTATGACTAGAGAAAATTACAGCTCGAATTTCCAAAATAACTGGTGTGACATACATGGCATCTAAATGATGTTCCATATCCCTCACCAAAGAGCATTTTGGATGGTCTGCTGAAATGTTTTCCCTGAGCAAGTTAAAGATTGTAATTCCAGTTTTGTGTTTCATTCCCCAAATTAGCTTAACCTGGTAGTAATACTGGTTGCAAACAGTTCAGATATTAATTGCCATGGCTTCCCCAGCCCTCAGCCGTTTTTAACATCTTCCTTAGGAGATGGCATCCTGAGGAAAACAAGTGAAAAGATTTCCTTTCACAGGGAAACGGTGAGAAATGAAATACCCAGCACTGATGTGTGGTGGAAAGTGACAGAGACTGATGCCCTAAGCATGTTTAATTAGTTGTTATTGCTGCAAGTTTTATCCTCGACACCCACTGACATGGCTGGGCCAGGAGAGCCAGCTCAAGGCAGCCCAGAGCTGCCAGCCCTTTCTCAGCCCTTGTGTTAGCTCTGTTTTGTCAATGACAGTGATCAGGAGGAAATAAAGCTTCTCCAGTGTTTCACTGTCACAGCTGCTGTGAGAAGGCAACTGGGGGACAGCCACGACAGCTGAGAGGCTCTGCTGCAGTGAGAAACCAGGCAAACCTCCAAAGTCCAAGCCGGCACTTGTCTGTCAAGCAGTTCATGACAATCTAAATGGTAACAGCTGAAAAAGCAAGCACTTATCAAACAGGTTAGTCAAGTGACAATAACAATGTTCCAATGCTGTTCTTTGGTCTCCAATGGCTTCAGTCTTTGATGTTTCTTAATCTCCAAGATCAAAACTGCTGGGCTCAAGACTTCTTTGATGAGAAAGGTAAGGAGCAAGATGGGGGTCTTTGCTCCTCCCCAAGCTGTGCTATCACTGGTGCATATACATCCTTTCTTGTTAGAGAAAACCAGTCTGGCCCAAGGGCTCACCAACCTCTTTCCACAGGCCCTGACTGTTTCAGGCTGTCCAGATAGGTGGTACAGGTCCACCCTGGCATCACCTGGATGACCATCAGACGCTGGTCATGCAATTCCTGCTAGTAGCCACCAATCTGAATAGCCAGCAGGATTAAATAACCTCATGACTTTTATATAGCTATGCCAAATGAGTGTATGTTATGCAATGTTTCACTTTCTGCTTTGAACTGAGCAGCTGTGTGGTGTGTCTGGTGTGCAAGGCAAGGGTTCTTTCCACTGGGAGCTACAGTGGTAATCCAGCCACTCTCCTGGCTGTAACTTTCACAGGAGCCTCCTGTTTCTTGTCCTAATTAAGTCTTTCAAGCCAAAAATTACTGTGGGCAGAGTTTTCAAACTCCATTATCCAGAGTGCAGGTGTGAACCCTGGTACAGACCTGATGGCATCTACGGTGACAGTCAGGGTGTGGCCCCAAAAGAGGAGGAGCAAAGGCACAAGGCAGCGCAGGGAGGTGCAGCGGGCACCTGAGGAGCACAGGCTGGCACACACACTCACTCACTAGCAGCACTGGCTGGAGCTGCTTTCAGCAGCTTTTGTCATGTTTCACACTGTATCTTTGATCCAAATGTATTTTACTGTGGCAAAAGCTGTTTGTATCTCCCTTAGCATATGTGCAGTATGTGTTGTGTTATTCTTTTCTCCAGATGATTTAAACAATGCTTTCCTCAGCTCCTACTGCTGCTGGTTCACGTAGATGCTTCATCTCCCACACAGTGTCTCTAAATTATTTGTATTTTTTGAGTGTGCCCTGGAAAACTTGCTAAATCTGTCTTTCAGATCAGGCATTCAGTTCCACCCAGAAGCTGAAAATATTTGACAACTTTCAGTGTTTTTTCCTCCTCTGTGGAACTTAAAAATACAGAACCCTGTGAGAATGAATGAGAAGCCCTGCTTATGTAATGCTGGTAGAGCTTAGCTGCACATTCAGATTGTATTTAAGGCAAAGCTTAACATGCAGATGAGGTTTTACAATTCTTTATCCCTCCTGCTCTTCCTTGTTTCCCTATAATGGATTTTGATTTATTTGATGATGGGATCAGACTTCTCTCCTCTGTATCATCAGGAACCTTTACAAGTTTTCTGCTAAGGGAAGGGATAGCAAGATTTGCATTATGGGGCTTTTTTGTTATCTTCCCTCCACTGCAACTGAGATTTGAGAAACCCTGGTAAGGTAAATTTTTTTTTTTTCTAGATACATATCTATAAAACAATAAAAATATAAATATGTATATGTGTACTGATAAGAATTATATAATACATTATTACTAGCTGGAGGTAAAGGCAATTATTTTCTACCTGAGACTATAAATGTGTTAGGCAAATTTTTCCAGCTTAGAAAGTTTCTTCTGTGTATTTTTATCATAGGGCATTCTTGTCAGAGAAAAACTGCCAAAAACTTTAATGCACCCTGGATTCATTAGTAGCTGCTAATGAATCTGTGATTCTACAAAATGCCAGTGAAAGAAACAAAATCTCTTCATGAGTTTTTCTGTGTTAATAGTCTTCCTGCAGCTATCCTAGGTCACATACGTATTCATCAAACATCTGTCTTTACTTGCTGGCAAACTGAGCTAATAATATATGCAATAGTTTGAGCTGAACCAAAGTTGAGATGTGTGCAAGCTTGTACATGTGTTTCCCAGTAAAAAGGGAAAAACACTTAAGCTTACAATAGATGCCTTCTATTTAGCTTACTTATTCTTATTCTGCATCTATTTCATTATTATTAGCAACAACTTTGTATCAATGTTACCATAGAAATGAAGAATGCTAATTCCTAGAATCATGCCAAAACTCATTTTCCATCCTGTTTACTTAGTTGCTCTACTGCAAACAATGCTTGCTAGATAGCTGTGAATAATTCAGAGCAGCTACGTTATTTGGCCAGTTTATTTTTGCGTGCACTATCCTTCCGTTTCAGCAATACATTTTACATGTTGTTCTGGAAAAGAGTCTTGTGAAACTATGCTGAATTTTAAAGGCAAAACCACCAATGAATTTCTGGGGGGAGGAGGGGAAAACCCTAACAAGAATCCATAAGATTAAAGAAGAGGAAGGGCAGGGCTGTAACTTATGTACTGAGTAGCTCTTTTCTCTTTGAAAGCCATTTCATACTAATTCATAAGATGTGTTTCTTCAAGCCAGTACATACATGTTTTAATGGAACTCAATGATCATCAGGCATAAATCATGTACCAAGCTGCTCTTTAATGTCTCTCCTGAGAGCTCAGACTGTCAGAAGAACTTAGGGCACTGCGGTTGTATCACCTACAGCCATCTAGAACCTGAGTCATTTAACCATAACATTACAATTTATTTAATTTTGAAATACTAATTAATTGCCGGGGAAGACGGCAAGAGATTCTAGAACTATCTAATAACCATACTCGTAATGCAGCGATTACTTAGAAAATTATCTCCCTTAAAATAACATCTTGGAATTCCAAGGGCACTCCACTATGAATCCTAAGATTTTGGAAACAATAATTTCAAAATATTCCTACTGTAGCAACTGAATCCACTTTAAAAAATCAACATATTCTTTCTGCTTCATGCATCACCATCAGCTACTGCAAATTGCAAATGTCCTAGAATCAAAACTTAGCAAGCAATTTTGTTAATGTAGCAGAAGGTGGAAAAGAATACATTTCAGTCTTTCACAGCAATATTGACTCTATTGTGCTGACAACCCTGCTCATGCTTCATGGTACTGCATAACTGGAAAGAGAGACAAATCAGAGATTTACAGCACCTTTTACACAGCACAGTATTTTTGCATAGCCATCCTCTTGATTATTCTCCCCCCAACATGTGGCCATGAATGAAAAGAGAGAAGAGGAAGAAAGGGAGATGTTGTTACCTAAGTGTAGGCTCCTGACTCTGTCTTCTGGCATTGTGAATGAGAGCATTGATTTTATAATGCACATAGCACTTGGTGATTCCTCTGGTCTGTATTTACAGACTTGCTTGCCTATTCTCTACCATTCACCTGTTTCCTTACAGCCTGTGTAACTCAGAAGTGAATCTCCCTTTGGCATTGGATACTCCTTTTGTTTCCTTGTATGCTGTAAACAGCAACAGCACCTCAGAGCTCAGTGCCAGCACAACACAGGTAGTAAATAACTGATTCAGCTCTTAAAAAGAACTTCACAACTGGCAAGTTTCTGCACAAAATCCTGCATTTCCACACAGTGTACAGCTCCATTGGTAAGAGCCCCATCTGGAGCCCCAGCAGTGTCACAGGAACTGAACTGCACTCACACAGAGGTGTGCTGTGGCACCCAGCTAAGGTCTGGAGGGGTTATCCAGGCTATGCCCAGCTATTTGCACCGAGACTGAGAGTGCAAAACTACCCCTAATGTCATGAATCACCTCTGCCTCAGATCTGCAGAAGCATCTCTCAGTGTATCAGCCTTTTCTCAAAGCTATCCCCCGGGAAGCTCACTGCAGTCACAGCCCATCTTTAGACATTACGACTTGGACTTTCCACATCCTTTCAACCCATTTTTGTATTGCAGCATGTGAGTGTCTGTCTGTGTAAGCAAAGTGGTGATGATCACTTTGATCAGCCCTGGTACCAGCACTGCCAGCCCTTTTCCCACTGCACACAGGAGCACATCCCATAAATCCGGAGTGACTGCAGCCAGCCATCTGCAAGGGAGCCAACATTCAGCTGCAATGAGCAGGTAATGCTTTTGTAGTCAGGATTTTTCAGCTGTGGTTTCTCTTTTCACTTGAAAAGGTTTTGATCAAGAATGGCAGTTTAAAAAAAAATCCTACTGTTCAGTACATATATTAAAGCTTCATCTTTTCTCTGCTGTCTCTTCATATGTCCTCCTTTAAATTAAAAAATGAGCAACTCAACCCAAACTTTCAAATCCAAGCAAAATTATTGCTGCTTGTAAAACTGCAGTAAGATTATTTTAATGTATATTACTAATATTTTTGATGTCCTAGCTCTGATTACACCATTCACAAAATGTTTAGAAAAATGCATATTAGTGCATATCAATAAGGATGGATTGAATTTGAGTGCCTTTATAGTGCTGCTGATAAAATTCTCACTCGCCAGAACAGAGTGTGCTGCAGTAACAGAACTGTTCAGCAAGAGCATATTTGTGCATGGTGAGCTTGGAGCAGAAATCTGCTTTCCCCTGGCAAGCTCTGTAACATCTGTGAGAGATAACAGCAGAAAGGTGGAAGATTTAGCACCCTTTGTCATGTTTGTCCACGCTGTGATAGCTGATGTCTGATGCTTGTCTTTGAACTCTGTTTCTAAGAAGAATGGGGTGGGCTAAAGATCTCTGTATCTCTGGCTCCTTTTGATTAATTTCATTTCACTGTGCCCATCTGTGTGTCAGTGTCAGATAGCCACTGCCTGCTGCGGGCAGCCCCATCTCCAGGTTTCTCACTCCTGAGCAATTTGCAGCGAGTGACCCTGCTTCTCCTGCCCTACTCTGGGTACATTTGGCATGCTTTTCTTCTTTGGGAGATCTGCAGAGCAGCAGCACCAGCTGAGGTCGTGCCAGGCTCTGACCAGTGCCTTCAGCTCTGCTCTCACAGGATAAACTATGGGAGGGCTCCAGCTGGGAGATCCCAGCCAGGCTCCTCCAGGAAGCCACAGGAATGAGGGATAAACGTGAGCTGGGGATGGCTCACTCTAATGCACCTCAGAACGGGGAAAGAGCTGATGGCTTCATCTTCAGAAATGCACTACAGGGACTAGGGGGATTTTGAAGGAATTTTGAAGGAGTTAAAGACAGGACCTCTGAGGTTTTAGATAGTGCAGTTTATTTTTCTTCTATATAGGCAGGAAGGGTGAGTTCAACTCACATCTTCAGAGGATGGTTCAGAAGATCACAAGACCCCTAGTTACAAGATCTTTCAAGGACTTATTAGCCAAAAAAACACTACCAATGAGGATATTTATATTTTTAACCTAATCCTTAAATATTTCATCTTATGGGCTCATGCTGCAGTGTAAGCTTTCTTAGTCAATCCCGTTATGACACACAAACCTACAGTACTGTATTCTAAAACTCTAAACTTCCTTCTGCTTAATGTGTCTCTACTTTAAACTATAAATCCACATTCTCCCTTCTAGCACCTGAGTTTTGAAGCCTTTTCCAAGGGCTCAGACCAAGTGATCAGCTGCATCGAGCAGGTAATGTTTTTGTAGTCAGGATTTTTCAGCCATGGTTTCGCTTTTCTCTTGAAAAGGTTTTGATCAAGAATGGCATTTTAAACACAGGAACCCACAGATCCTGTGTTTAATTCTAAGCCTTGGCTTACAGGCCCAAAGTTCTGAGAATTCCCTGCATTTTGGATTCCAACAAGGATACCCCAGAATTTTGACTTTTCCTGCACTGATGACAATTTTAAAACTGCCTGTGTAGTGCTGTCCTCTTGAAAGAGTGCGCAGTTACTGGAATAAATCACACTTTCTCTTCCCCTCTGTCAGCTATTAATAGTGGTAAATTTTAATTGCATATGTAAATAAAAACACTGTGTACTCATTAGTTTAAATATGTTTTTCATTAGGCAAATGAAATGCTCATTGTATATGATGCAAAGCTAAAAGGAGAATGTTAACAGCATTGAGCAGTTTGGGAAGTATAGTGACTTGAATTTTTAAAGTTCTTTCTTAGGATAAAAATAAGCCATGTTTAAGGGATTATTATGGGCAAATTCTGCAGTAGAGACATCTTGTTTCTGGAAATGGGAAAAACAAAGATAAGTGACAGAAGTATGAGTATGGTGTCAAGGCCAATGCATTAAAACTTCTACTGAAAGGGAGAGACAGCACATACACTTGCATTACTATTTATAGCATTGGCTATTTTAGAGATGGTAACTGCAAGGAGGGCACCATTTTTCAGTTCCTATATAGAAAAATCCTGACATGTCTCACATTTTGATATCTTGAAACATATTGGTCCCAAATTACATCACTTCTTCATCGTCAATTTTCAAACTCTTGCAACGCCACACTCCAAATACACTTTTTGCTATTTTTAGGGGTATGTAATTATAGTCAAGAAGATACAATTTTTCAGTTCAGTAATCCATACTTTCAAGCTTGGAGTATATTTATCTACCTACGAGCTCATAATTTGTTTCCTTTCTATCAACAAAATACTCCAAATTTCATAAGTAATTCACTTCTAAACCTTCTTTTCTATCTCCTTCCACTGTTCTGCTAACTATGAAATGAGAGAAATCTTATCACAGACACATTTAGTAAATTAGTATCATTTTATACAAAAGCCTGCCCTCTAAACACTTCAGTCTTAGTAAAAAGATGCTCTGAAGGTATGACTTTCTAAAGTTATGGTTCAGAACAGTTTAACAATCTCCCTTAATATCCAAGCATGTGTTTCATGATTAATATGAGAACATAAAATCTCTCTCCCTGCAAAACTCAGAGCACCAAATACACTTTCTTCCCATATGATTCCCATATTACAGAGCCAAGATAAAAAACCATTTTTATTTTATAAAGATAAGCTTGAATATCCTTGTCTCATCCATGCTTCTTTAGTTCAAATTCTATCAAACTTTTATACTGGAGCACAGTAAAATATTTATATGCAAGATGTAGCAAATGAAATGCAAGGGCTGGCTAGAGGGCAGTCTCTTGGAATTAACACAGAGCAGTCTAAAAAGGATTGATATGTCACTCTTCTGGATTCTTCATTTGCCAAGCTAAATTGTAGCTAGCAGTACCCATGGCCAAGAGAATAAAGGCAACAGAGATTCCACTTTGTATGAAGAGTTATTGCATTTGACATGGCTGAAAACATATTAATAGTTTTTAAGACTAAAATGGGACTGGACTTACTACATAAGAGAGGCCAGAGAGTTTCCACCTGTCAGTGCCCTGAACAAGTTTATGAATTGAGGCTGAGTTGCAGCAAAGTTTTGAGGATGATATTCAGTCTGGTCATGGCTGAAAAGCCAAGAACCAAGTAATCTCTTTTGCATCTTCTTGCAGGAAATGTTTAAAAGCTCTCATAATTTAAAAAGCAGGGCTTTGTATTTGATTTTTTTCACTTGTCTGGATCAATCTTCTAGTCATTGCATCATATTTTATTTCACCCTACCGCTGGGCCATCTGAGGAGAATGGGAATAATAAAGTTGAGAGGGAAAAGACTGAGGTTTTGTCAAACAAAAGAGTTTGAGTTTTGTTTCAAGAGATTTAAAGAGTCTGTGATTTAATACATGATGATAACCCATAATATATAATAGGTGCCCTTGATGCCTTCAAAATATTTTTTTCTTGTCTGCCGTATTAAAACCAGTAGGCAGTGCAATGTATAAGTAATGTATGTATTCACTGGATATTCATGCTTTCATACACAAAGAACAAAAATCCTCCTTCAGTTAGGATGCATGCCCCAACAAATCCACTGACTCATTCCAAAGAGTTTGAGCATAACAGCCCACCAGGCCCATTGTTTACAGGCTAAGGAGAATTACAAAGCAATCCCACCCTGAGCTTCATTGTCATTACTGTTCAGAAAAGAAATCCTCATTGATTTCTAATGCATGTAGTGTTTCTCCAAAGTTATAAGTATTCACAGAAAGCGGTTATCTTTTACAAATGATTTCACTGATCTGCAGATGATTCCTTTGATTCTCATCCAGCATCAGATCCTCTGAATGATTTCTCATGAGTTCCCCTCCCTCTCACCACTGAATTTCTCTAGGTAGGAGAAGAAGAACTTCAGAGATGTATTTATCATGGTACATAGATGTCTTCACACAGACACAACTCACTCTAGCTTTTAACAGCTCTTCAGGTTCCTCAAGAAACTTGTGGTAGAGGTGAGAAATCTGAGGCTATGTAACACTTCAATCTGTAGTAAGCTCTCAAATATTTAAATTGTGGATACATCTAGACCAAGTGTTTTTAATGGTAAAGTGTAATGATATGTAGATAGATGAGGAAACGTAATTTCTGTATAACTCATCCAAAACTAGCTTATCACATTTTATCCACATTCAAATGTCTTATCTGAAACTTGGCTCAGCAGGAAATGGTAACATGTCAAGGATCCAATTAACATTATCTCACTCCCCTGGTTTTTCCTTCAATTTCTCTGCCTTATGGGAGCTGCTTCAAGTTCTGTTGTTACTCACAGTGAAATGGATTGATTTTTGGCATAGTTCTGATTTGCTGATACCTCAAACACTACTGGAACCTCTGAATTTGTATGAAATATGAACCACCCCACAGGGGAAAATCCACTCAGGAGTGTGTCATCAGAATTCTGGATGGTTACTTCTTTGTTCTGTCTGGATTACTTTGTGCAAACTGTGAAACCTTCTAAACCCAAACGTTATTGAATGGTCCATTTTGTAGAGTGTGCAACATCAAAAGGAACATGAGTTTTAAGTACAGTCAGCCGGCCAAAATCAAATTTAAAAAGAGGAACTGGAGTGCTCTGTAACAGGGAGAGTTAGAAAGCTGTATTTGACACTAAGGAGTATGAATAGGAGGAGTGAGAGAGGTCCATGTTGAGTATATTTGTGCACTGAGATAATTATTCTTTATAAATAAAGGAGCAATTATCAACAGCAATTCACTGAACAGCAGAATTTTACCTGAATTCTTCCAATAGCAACCATAGTATCCTTGCAAGGCAACACCAGAAAAGAGTGTCTGTAAAGGGGTTCTAAGCT